ATTTTTCTTACTGTGGATTTCTTGTCAGAGTTGGAAGTCCCAGTATTTACAGATCCAGTACTTGATGTATTGAAAGCTGAACTTATGGATTTTTCCCATGGTGTCAGCCACTTGCAATAATGGAATTAGGACCTGTTGCAGGGGTTTTTGAGGTGAGAGCAGTACAAAGTGGATTGCTCCATGCACACTGCTAAGCAGCTTCAGCTGGGTTCATTTGAAATGTGTGGGAACTATTGGTTTTTTTGGTGGTCAGGTTTGGTAGATGTGGAGAAAAAATGATGAGCCTGAGGTACTCGAGATAATAATAAAATAAAACTGATTCTTGTTCTGGAATGGTACACTTTCAACACGGGGCTTAATTCAGGTTTCATGAATGTAGTAGTTATGTTTAAATCTTGATGCCACTCTCTGTCTGTCACCCCTTTTCAGAAATTGATGTACGTTCCTCTTTTCATTTTTTAAACATACACATGCTCTTTTTTAACATTTTAAAGCACCCCTGCTTTTTTGTACTTACAGATCCCCTCGTGTTAAACATTGACAAAAACTAATTAGTATGCAAGACACAACACAAGCTAGGAACCTCTGAAATATGATTTACTAGCTTAGACTTTCTACATTGTGCAGGGCCTGATGATGATGAGCATGCAGAGTATAAAAAGGTTTGAGCAAAGCTGCACAGTTTCACCATGCACAAAATGTCACGCTGAATAAATAGTTGAAAATATCTTATGGGGCTCCCAGGGTCTCATCACGAGAAATAAAACGAATACCCCTAGCAAAACACCTGTAAAGCCAATAAATTGAAGTAATCACTTTTCTGCCCATAGAGCATATTTAACATGCATTCAACACAGCTAAAGGACGTCTGAAGGGTCTTGATCCAGCATATCCATATCCATATCCAAATATGAGAAAGTTCTTTGTTAGTCCTAGAGTGATTTATGAAAGGTTTTCAGCAAAGTAGCTAAATGACGGAAAATAGAAAACGCTAGTCTTAAGTGGTAAAGATGGATTATAGTACTTGCACAGGGTTTATCTTAACAGTCCTTGCATTTTTAAGAAGCTGTATGCTTTTGACACCAATATTTCCACCTTTTAAGTCTATAAGATGTCATCTAATCACCTGATTCAAATGAAAGTCTCATCTTAAACTACATGTCCCAGAAATTCACTTACTTATGTTGGGTTTAGGAATGTGGTTGACCTTTGCTGTGTGGTGTGGATGTAATCTGTGTATGAAATTGGAATTTGACATTCATTTTGTACTGTGGATGTTGGTAGGGCTTGCAGAGCTACTCAGGTTGCCTGCAGTAAATGCTGGATCAAGACCCTTCAGACGTCCTTTAGCTGTGTTGAATGCATGTTAAATATGCTCTCTGGGCAGAAAAGTGATTACTTCAATTTATTGGCTTTACAGGTGTTTTGCTAGGGGTATTCGTTTTATTTCTCGTGATGAGACCCTGGGAGCCCCATAAGATATTTTCAACTATTTATTCAGCGTGACATTTTGTGCACACCACTGACATGAAATAATATTGACTTTTCTAAAGATACAGCAGTGTTGCAGTAATCCCAGTTACACTGCTGCAAGTGTATTATATCTGCAGAATGTGGAACCAGTATTGCTTCTGGAATGAAATTACATTCCCTTAAGATGTTTTTTTCTTTGCAACTACTAGAAAATGATGAGTCTGCGGGATGTGAGGAGTGGAGTCTGAACTAATTTTTTTTTACTGTGACAGATAAGAAGCCCAGGGCAATTTTTTTTCATATGATAATTTCAATTTTGCTTAAATAAAATGCAAGGTCATATTTAAAAAATGCAAATGTAATACTAAACTGTCAAGACAGATTTTAATTTAATATTAATAGTGATTGCTTCTTGAATATATGATGGGACTCACTTCATCTTCTTCTGAAATGCATCACCCACCTGAAGTGGAAAAGTGAGGAATTGCTTCACCAAAAGAATTATGAGTGGAATACAGGCAGGGAACAGGGAGTATTGTGCAAACCCAAGGTGGAATTTAGTCAGGACAGAGAGGTTAACACACCTACACTTACAAATGGAGCCATGGGGTCTCTAATAACCAGGAAATCAGGGCTTCAGTTTGACAGTGTATGAAGGATGGCACCTCCTGATTTGCAGCTTTGTCTCCAGAGGAAGGAACACCACCAGAACCACTTCCAGCCTGGTCTTCCTTAGAGGTTTCCCATCCCAGACCTGGCCTGGCCCAGACTGGCTCAGCTTCTGTGATCAGGAGAGATCAGGCTACAACGTGGAGCACACTGATTCACGTAGCCATAAATGAAGACCACCAGACCACATTTTTGCCAATCACGTCCGCCTCCTCCTCCTCTCTCCTGTCTTTTGTTTTCCCATGGTATGTTATCTTTGTTGACTGCCCTATCTTTCTTACACCTGAAGAAGGCTCTGCAGCCGAAACCTTGTGTTTCCTTTCTACTCTTTTCAGCCTGGAATAAACCTCTTACTTGTTCTTTACTGTATACACACATGCTGTATGTACACTCCAGTGTCAACATGTGCTGTCCCCTGGAGCTTCAAAGCAAGAAAGGACCTGGGGTGTTTACTGAGATGTATTGGGTCTGAGACACATTGATCAAAGGAATCTTCTGGTTTACCTTGGTTAATTCAGTTCTTGGTACATCATTAAGGGTCAGCAGCGGTCCAGGAAAACAGGATAAAAAGAAAAGAGCAGACAGAGAAAAGGCAAAAGAGAGAACAGGTGATGGACAGAAAGACACAGGGAAAGGGAAGGGGTTGGAGGTTCTTGTCCTGATCAGCCTTTAAGATCAGATTCCAGTATTTGATCCTTGTTAAGAGAGCTTACTTTCTGTTGTTTTAGGAAACTGATTTCCTGTATAGAGAATTCCTAGGCTAAAAACAGCCACTCCTGGAGATAGGTTTCCCATTCACTTGGTAGCATCTGGATTTACAGAGGGAGTTTTAACTCATGGTCATATTCTGTTTACTTTAGAAGGCAGGCGTATGTCTCTCATCGCCTGTGTAGGTGTTCTATAGGATTTGAATACTTGGTAGCAGATTGGGGTTTTTCTGGTTGGTCAGAATATAGGCCTCCGAGACACCTTGTTTGTCAAGAGAGTAACTATGTTGTATTTTTTATGTTGTGTTGTTTAGTGTGTGTTATTGTCATTATTAATAAATATTTGTTTAACCAAAGCTGTGCCAGAAGATAAAGAACTCAGGTGCCTCGAATTATACCAACCACTCGGGTGTATTCTGACAATTTGGGGTTGTGATTATTTATTATTGACCATCCTGCTCAGTTAAATTCCGTTGTCTGTTTTGGTAACTCCTATTTGTAACAATATTTATGTGTGTTTATAGCATGCATGTTTGTAATATGAGTTATAAATGGCATATAACATTTGTAGATCTCAGAGGTTGGTATGTTTAGGTTCACTGCAATGCTTAGTATTTTGATATAAGATAAGATAAGATCACTCTATTAGCCATATACAATTTGCATTAGGGATTTCTTTTCGCATACCCTAGCTTGCTCTCCATTAGACACAGACAGACAGACAAACACACACGGAGATAAACTTGGGGTCACACCTCAGACACCGACAAAGGTATGACTTATGTTTTATTCTGTCACTTTTTAAAACCTTGAATTAATAAACTGTATTGCTCCGTTGTGCTGGCATTTACTTAAAAAGACGCCGATACAGTACATTTAAACAGTGCTTTGAGTAACGCCTGAATAGCACTTCCACAGAGAACATTTTAAAGATTTAATATCACGCAACTTTAAGCAGTTATGTAATAGGTTGATTTGATTCCAACGACAGCAGATTACCTTGGTAGTTATTGTTCTAGTTTTTATTAGGTGTTCCGACATAGCTTGGAGACTTCATACTCAATATTCGAATGGCCAACAAATGAATCCAGATGAATTCTAGTCCGTCTCCGAGGTCCTGTGTAAGAAACAGCACTTCTGAATGGCAAACTGGCCGGGAGTGACGTGTCGATACCAGCCTTAATTAGTGCAATTAAACCTCGATGATTATTGACATTAGGAGATAGAAAAGTGGTGGCGCTTGAAAACGAGCAGCTATGTCCCTTAAACATTAGTCATCCTCAGCATTTAACAGATGACAGCAACACGTTTTTCCAGCGCTAGATTTCACCCAAGCCCATGACGTGTTATTGTTGATGTGTGTTCAGTGTTTTCATTCATTATCGGAAAAATTGCATGATAATGGGTTGATATACAGTTAGGCACACGACCACAGTAAAATCAATGTAATTTGTACCTGTGGCAGATTCAAATTCTGCCACTCATCGCCTCACCAAATACAGCTTCTAGAATTGTGGCTACAAAATTAGATATGATAGCTCGTGAAAGCGTTTTTAAATTAATACAACACACATGATTTTTTTTCTAAATTTCTATTTGTCATGCTATGCATTTGGCCGTCTATTTGTACTTCAACTCCGGATATGGGAGACTGATCATAAACAAAACCTTTGTTTCACGTTAAAAAGAAAATCGCAATTAAAACGCATCGAACATTTTTAGACATTCCCCCCTCGTAATTCGGAATGATGTTGCCTTAATAGTTTAGTTTTAGTACTCCACTACTGTCGTCTTTCGCTTGACACAGACTAACTATACTGGTGATGTAACTGTAAAAAAAAAACGACTCACAGGGAAATGGGTCAATTGTAAATCTTTCAGATCAGATCATTTGTGATAAAGTTCCCCTGAGACACACAAGCATTTATATTTAGTATCGGACCCAGCGTCATGTTGATAATAGCTTCCCCTTTCACCGCCTCGTTAAACAAAACCAACACGATGATCAATTAACGTTTTCGTTTCTCGAAGTACACGAGTTAAAATAGCACTCATCAAGGAATTCGTGCCCAGCCTACCGTGTTATAATCTGTTGTCAAGTTTCTTATCTCAGCCCTTCAAAAGGGGAGTGCAGTGCATTGGTATTTATCGGGCTGTGGGATTACCTCCTACACTCGAATTTAGACAACACAGAGCGTAGATCCCTAAACACCCCCACACCTCCGTACTGTCACACAAGACACCCCCAAACAACATGTATTGAAGCCCATTTTAGCTGCTTGAATAGACAACAAGTATGCTATGTCACTGCCTGCCTCTGACTCCGCACGGAAAAGTGCACTGAGCAGCCTAGCCCCTCGTGCGGGCTCACCCAGACTGAATGTTGCAGAACGTTAGCATTTCATTTCACCTTGTAATTAAAATAAGGGCATAAGCTATGGATTAAGCTCCGCTACGGAACCCCGCCATTGAAAAATAAGAAGTGTTTAAAATCGCTGGGAGCTTCGCACCCATGTCTGAAACTTGGAAATGACATCTCACGAGGGATTGTTTTGTACAGTAAATGAAAATTGAAGACGCATTGAAGTCTGAACACAAGCTCTGTTCTGCGCAGTTTTTGTTGGGTTTTTTTTTTTCAGCAATAGCTATGCATACAGACAACGGGTTTCATGGCGGATCTTGAAGTTTTTAAAAATCTCAGTCCCGAGAAAGGTGAGTATCCTTTCGAGGAAAGTAAAAATTCAAATTGAAAATGAAGTAGTTCGAAATTGAAACGCCTTTGGTCTTATCATTCAACCGTTAACTTCAAATACTGTTTCAAGATCTTTGATTGTATTTTAGTTTTGCACGTAAAAAATCCACATATATGTTAATTTATTGTTACTTTAAACATATCTGAGGCAAAACGTGAGTTTAAATAGATTGACAGCTTCACCTAGACGTATATTTAGATGTTACTTTTATTATTGTGTTTTGGTTGATGCTATACTAGAAGTATACGTTTCTTGCGTCTCGGAGAACATTAGACTGGTACACTAGCGTTTTTTAGAATGGGAGAAAGAGGTTGGGGTTAGGAAATTCATTTTCAGTTCATTTTCATACTCTACTTTGAAAATTGTCTATTTCTACACACAGCACGCAAAACGCTCCTTTGATTAGTAGCTTGTGAAGAATGAGTGGGAGTGCATTGTCTAAGACATATAATAACTCAAGGAATGCCTTTTTAAATAGCTGGCTGTCATAATATGTGGAATTAACGCCTACTGCTCTCGTCAAGCGGGTAGAATCGATAGCTCAGAGGAGGAACTGTCCGTGGTGCTGCAATGATACGCTGTCTGCTTTTAAAAATAACGCACTGTATGGTTTTAATCGAAATTTGTATTTGAATTTAGATGTGATTTGAATTAACTGCTGTTTACATTCAAAATTTACTTTTCAAAATAAAGCACTGCAATTTACAACAGCAATACACTTTTGGATATAACTTAGAAACTGGGGTTTAATCACCAGCTCAGGCACTAAATTATATTCTGACGGAGTGCGAAACAAAAATCCGATTAACTGAAATGTGAAAACTGTTCCGGTGTGTTTGATGATTGAAGTGGAAGATGCATTAAAATACGCGTCTGTTTTTATGGTGCTCTCATACATTTTATTTATAGTAGGTTAGATTGGTGCTTACAACAATCACGAGATTTGCAGGATTGCAATTCACACTGTGAAATTGATGCTGTTACATTGAATGAAACGCGATTGCTTTGAGACCTTTTCTGCGAGTGCTTGTTGAATGTATCTTATGATTAATACACTTACATATTTTCCGTTTACTTGGAAAGTTACCTAAAATATCAGTCCTCTAACAGCCTGTATTCATTTACAGAAATATACGATTTAGCTGGACTGGGGCGCGACTGCATTTGTTGTTGGTTCAAGGTGTTCAAAAAGGATCGTCGAGCCCCCCTGTCTCTCTGTCTACGCAGCTCCTGGGTTTGCGGATCTCAAGAAGGAACAATTAAAGCATTGTTGCCCATACCAGCTTCTGTGAATGCATTGATGCAGGCCGTTTTTTTATCAGTTCTGAAACATTTACATTTGAAGTAGTTCAGGTGGTGCATTTACATCTGGACATGTGTGTCATAAATGATTACATTTGTCGAAGTATTATTAGTCGTCTCTTAGACTGTTGCTGTCATTAATGTATTCCATCTATCTGTTAGTCTCATGGACCGTAAAAAAGTTCCTGCAGCTGGTATTTTGGAATGGGCTATACATCTTTAAGGCAGTTATTCCTTATCTAAATTTGTGAACCAAATGGTGTGGGTGACTACAGGTGTTGCCCCCTTCCTGGAGAAGAACACTTTCCTTTGAGATTTAAAGTTATCATCCACTTACTCAGATGGTTACATTGAACACCCAGGTGGTGTCTCGAGAATTCAGTTAAATTCCAGAACAACCTCTGGCCCTCTGTAAACAGAAACTGACTTCCTTGTGAAAGATTAAAACAGAACCTTGCAGCTAATTTAGTTAAAGTAAATATAACTGTATTCGATACGAATAGAAATAATTCTAGAATAGTGATTAAAAAATGAATGGGTAGTTTCTTTGGTGTTGAAAGGCACCTTCAGTGTTATACAATGGAACCTGAGTTCTATGTTTAGAAAGCAGGATGCTGTAGTAAAAATTAAATCCTTGGAAGCATTTTTTAAGTGCGATTTAGCCTGTGCTTCTTGACAAGATCAGAAAAAAATAAAAAAGGAAATCCTTTGAGAGAATATTAAGCCGAACAAGCTGAAAAGAAAACAACAACATGCAAATATCCGACTGTATATTGTATAATTATATTCTGAGATGGGAAGAGCACTGGGCTAAAACAGAGCGGTATTCCCCAGTGATATAGTGAATTAGTTAATAAAATAGTCTTCATTTAACAAAAACGTTTCCAGTCTTATGACTTTCAAAATCATGAAAGAATGCCATGCTTTTATAGACATTGTTTTCATCAGTACGCAGGAAAGCCCAATATAAAACACATTGGGCGATGACAGTCATTACAAGTTAATTAAACAAAGTTGGGTTGCGGTGCTCTCTTTTCATTTCAACAGGTATTCTACATTATGCAGCATGAGCTAATTCAAAGGAAAGTCCTGTCTGATCCAATGCCTGTCATTACTTTTTAATATCTCATATCATTACATTTTAATGTGTTGAATGCATTATGCATGTGTACACTAATGCTATGCGTAAGTAAACAGACACTTAATGTAGAAGAGCACATGTTTATTCTGTTGCCATGCTGTGCAAGAGTGGGAGTGTATACATGCTGGCGTCCTCACTTTGCTTTGAGTAAGACAGCAACACACGTGTACTCTGAATGGGCGAAATGACTCGTTTTCATCTGTAGGGCTCTTAACACATCCCTGTCACAGATCTGGTGGACAGGCCATGGGAAGTAAGTTCACAAGGATCAGTTCAGGAAACCCCTCAGCTGGTCGGCATAGGTGTGATGGTCACATTTTAAAACTTATTTTGACACACTGTGCTCAAGAAAAATACAAATCTGTAGTGTTTCTGTTGCATCCATTACACCTTCAATATGAAGAGTTTTTCAAGTTGGTCCTTAGTTTGATCAAACACAAATTTCTGCCAATGTCTTCTGAATTCTTAGTGATGGCTTCAGGTGAAAGCAAGCTAAAAAGAACACATAATGAATGGATTTCTTCACTGTGTGAAGACAAAGCTACAGTATACCTTTTATATAGCAGTAATGCAAAAATGCATTCAGTTGTAATGCAATGAAACGCATTCGTGTCTCATTTACTTGTTTAACTTGGATTCAGGTACAAGGACACTTCAGCTCTGATCATTTCAGTGATGGTAAAAATCTTTCATTCAGTGGCCTTCAATTGTCTTTCTATAGCTTGTTTAGTTAAGTCAATGGACATTAGGTACACATCAATTGAAAGAACATTATACTGTTTAGATTAATTGTAATGGCTTTTGGCAAAGCTATTGGTTTTTGTGGGGTCACGCAGTCCATACACTTACGGGTTGAAATTCACGAGGTCTGGCTTTCAATTTCTTAAGATAATTAAAAGCAAATGTAATAGTCATCATGGAAAATTATTAAATTGTTCTCAATAATAAGAATGTTTATTATTTAATCCTATAGTATGTGTACTTGCATGTTAATACAATATGTGTGTCATGTTTAAACTTTTTATTAGTCATCTAGATAATGCAGAAAATTTGTCCTAAAGATTGTATTGTCCAAAACATACATAAAATTAGTAATATATATATATTTAACTGGATTTGCAGAATTAAAGCAGAGCATTTCATAAATAATTTGATTTGGTTAAAAATAAAAGTCCTAACTACAATTACATCGGATTTCAAAGACACTCCACATTTTCATGCCTGACTTTAAATATTCCCATCATAAATGGGATGAGCGTAGATTTTTTTTTCTATTTCCAGAGGCAACTTAGTCCACATTAGTGTAACGTCTCCCAAGTAAACCTCCTGCAATGTCTAGAGTTGTCTGCATGCTTATCAGGTTGATTCAAGCTGGATTTATGATTTATTTTCTCATCCTGCTCAGACGTGCTGTCTAAAGTGACTCTGGAGTGCACCAAGTCCATGATATAGTTCCACTTTTTTATACAGCATTTCTACAGCAATGTACAGAATGCTGCATTATGAAAAGTTTGTCTATTTTTACTGCTGTATTATAGCAACACCTATTATAGCTTGCAGATTTGGTGGGATTCTTTAAATAACCTATATAGTACAGGATTGTTTATTTTCTCATGCCTCCTGAACTTTCTCCAAGTCTTGGATGGCTTTCCAATATTCTATAACATAATATAATATAATGGATATTCTGCTTCTGATTTTTGATTTTCTCTTTAAAACTGCTATAGGACAAGGACTGCCCTGAGGGTGCAATGACTACATTTCAATTTATTGTAGTGAATAAAAAAACAAGCAAACCTGTTTACATTAAATGTTTATGAATTGCCTACACAGTTCAATACAGTGTAAGTAGATTTCTCATTTGAACCACTCATAAATGAAAAAATAACAATTTGGAATAATTCACAGTTAACTGAAGCATTTCTTATTGTAACAAAGCTGATTTGTACTCTTTTTCAGTATGTGTATGGTTTGGTAAAAATAAATGTCAGTTTATAAAAAGACCAGCATGCGTGCTCAACTGCCAGGTTAGCAGAAATCCACCTGTTGCCTTCGTGGTTGTTTTCTTCAATTATTAAACACCCAGAAAATCGCAAAGCCAGTCCTGAAAGCTTCAGTCCATTTTTAAACCATCCGCCTTTATTTTCATAGCTGCTTCCTGCATTTCATTGCATGTCAGCATGTTGTCCACCACAGAAAAGGGCGAGTGTTGAACCTAAAGGACAGGATAGACCTTCCTGCTCCCAGCCAGTATTGTGAGTTAACAGTCTTTCCACTTGATTAAAAAAAGGTAAAGGCTGTGTGCACATGGGCATTGATGGATATTTTTCTCGTATATGTGTGTCTTTGAAACTCACAGACTGTAGCCACTTTTATGAACTGGAAACCAAAGACAGCTGAGACACAGAATGGCTTTGAACTAGATCTCTGAACACAGGAAACCATATGCTTAATTTTTTTGTTTTCTTTTTCAGTGCCTGCTGTATTTGGCAGGATTGAGTACTCTTGTTTAATGC